ATAGCTAAAAAGGTAGTAAAATCAGGTGTGACTCATTTAACAACTGCTTTGCTTAACAACAGAAATTCTGGTCACAATTGTGGCTGTAAGTCAAGAACTACCTACAGTATATGCACATGTTACATCTACAGTAGATTGTTACACCTGCTAAGTTGATTTTATTAAGGTTGTACAAATGGAGAAGCATTTGAGTTGATAAGCCTACAAAATCTCATTTTTTGTTGTTTTCGGGTACACCACAGCAGTCAACCAAGAGCCACATCAAGAGCCTTGTACAGCAGAAAGGAAATAAAACGCTGTAGCTCGTTTGTAACATATTAACCCTTGCATGCGTACACACAAACTGTCCAACAGATTGCAACCACATGTAGTTGGTCACAGTTGTCTGAATGGATGACTAACATTATCACTTGGTGACCTACTACAGCCCAAATCAAGGTATTTGATATAGGAAACCCCCTACAGGTAGTCTTGGATTTACAACCATTCATGGTCGTAATTCACAGATGCTGATCCGTTCAAAGCTGTAACACAGGGGTGTCAAACTGAAGACCCGGGGGCCGGATCCAGTCCGCAGAGTACTTAGATCTGGCACGCGGGGCCGCCCTGGAAACAGCGAAGGACTGGCCCGCAGTGCTTCTGCCAGCGAAAACGGACTCCCAGGCTCCGTTTTCGGCTGCCACAGCCTCCTGCAATCCTCTGCTAGTGAAAAAGGAGCTTGGGAACCTGTTTTCTCTGGCAGAGCATTCGGACTACCACTGGCGCCCTCAACAGGAGTGATGTTGAGACAGCCACGCACCCCCAGCCCAAACACAATCATGATGCGGCCCTCAATGAAATCGAGTTTGACACCCCTGCAATAACAGAACTGAAAAACAGTGATACATCCTCACATTTATGACGGTCACAGCATCCCCACAGTCACATGATCAGTATCCGGACACTTGGCCACCGGCATGTATTTACGACCGTTGTAGAGTCAGGGGTCACAGGATCGCAATTTGTGACCTTCTCAGCTGTCTTTCGACTGTTAACGGGAAACTGAGTGATTTGTTTAACAACTGCTGCAAAAAAAGTGGTAAAATCCGCACAGTCATATGATACCTTTGCTTAACAACCAGATTGCTTAACAACCACTATTCTGGTCTCTGCTACGATCGTAAATTGTACGGTGTGTTTACTGTAACCTTTGCAGAAGGTAATTCTACCAGTACAAGGTGATGGTTCTCCAGAGGAGAAAGCCCCTGTTGGAAGCCATGAGGATGTCAAAACACTATTGCATGCATCATTGTGTCATTGCACACTTCACTTGTGTGATGACTTCATGAGGCCTAAGCAGGAAATCTGCCGTCCTCCAGATGCTGAGAAATGAACTTCCAACAAGCCCAGTTGGTAGGGCTGAATACCTGAAATGGAAGTGAAACCTAGTCATTTCATCCCGAGTTAAATTTTCTGGCCCATAGCTTTTAGAGAAGATGGTAAGAATACAGACAAAAAACACAAAAGAGTTATTGAACTTTTTTTTTAAAAAAAACATGCATTTTTGCATGCATTTCGGTACCATATATTGTGTTTATATGCCTGATTTTTTTTAAAAAAGCATGACAATGGATCCTTTTCAGGGATCTCTTACCGCGACTGTACATGCCCACATAAGCCCCACATATATGGATAATGGCTAACTGAATTTACCCAATTGCTGGGTTCACACAATACAGATAGTCCTCGACTTACAACAGTTTATTTAGTGGCCGTTCAAAGTTACAACGGAACTGAAAAAAGTGACTTATGACCATTTTTCACACTTATGACCTTGCAGCATCCCCATGGCCATGTGATTTACATTCAGATGCTTGACAACTGACTCATATTTATGACAGTTGCAGGGTTCCAGGGACACGTGATCTCCTTTTGCAACCTTTTGACAAGCAAAGTCAATGGGGAAGCCAGATTCACTTAAAAACCGTGGTTGCTAGTTTAACAAATGCAGGGATTCGCTAACAAATGTGGCAAGAAAAGTCATAAAATGGAGCAGAACTCACTTAACAAATTTCTCACTTAGCAACTTAAATTTTGGGCTCAATTGTGGTCGTAAATCAAGGACTCCCTGTATACTTGACCCTTTAGCTAACTAGAGAAGCCAAGACGAACCACAAATTAGTCCTAATACCAGAGTTGGGTTTCAGCAGGTTCTGACCAGTTCTGGAGAACCGGTAGTGGAAATTTTGAGTAATTCAGAGAACCGGTAAATACCACCTCTGACTGGCTCCACCCCCATCTATTCTCTGCCTCCTGAGTCCAGGAGGAAATGGGTATTTTGCAGTATCCTTCCCCTGGAGTGGGGTGGGAATGGAGATTTTACAGTATCTTTCCCCTGCCACGCCCACCAAGCCACGCCCACCAAGCCACACCCACAGAACCGGTAGTAAAAAATGTTGAATCCCACCACTGCCTAACACGCTTTGTGACCACAACTAAAATTGGCACAGTACATTTTGCTACCAGAGTTCAGAATAGCTAAAACTTAGAATTAACAGCTTCAAGCAGTTATTGAGCTCAATTCTTAGACCCAGGAAGCTCCTAGTTATTTCAAAGAAAATCTTATCCTAAACGTATTCATGATAGAGCTTGTAAGCCACAAGTGGCTGTTTTTTTTAAAAAAACATAATGTCTTATTTAGTACAGGTAGTCCTCGACTTACAAATTTGTTTAATGACTTTGAACAAGTTACAACAGTACTAAAAAAAAATAACTTATGACCATTGCACCATCCACATGATTTACATTTGGATGCTTAACAACTGACTCATATTTATGTCAGTTGCAGTGTCCTGGGATCATATGATCCCCTTTTGCGACCTTCCAACAAGCCAAGACAATGGGGAAGCCAGATTCACTTAGCAACCATGTTACTAATTTGGCAACTTCAGTGATTCACTTAACAAATGTTGCAAGAAAGGTCATAAAATGAGGCAAAACTCACTTAATACATTTCTCACTGAACAGCATAAATGTTGGGCTTAATTGTAGTTGTGAGTTATAACTGTTGTTATAACTGTTGTAACATAACAGCAACAACGTATAAGGTTGATACACAGAAATCAGCAACAACTTGCCAATTTAACAAATTCCTCTGCTTAATGGCTGGCCTTCAAGGGAGAGTAGATTTTTAAAAATGGGGACTTTTGTTTCCTTAACAAAACTTACCTGGGGACTAGTAGTAAATACAAAAAAAAATAAAATAAATGAATGCATATTCCTGACACAGTAAAGTGTATCCTGAAATATTTAAAATCCTGATGATTTTAAATAATTTGAATTTGAATTTATTTTAATTAATTTTTAAACCCTACCAAGAGCCTTGATAGTACAGGGGTTTAGTGCACCCTGTTATTAACACAGCTGCCTGCAATTTCTGCAGGTTCGAACCTCACCAGGCTCAAGGTTGACTCAGCCTTCCATCCTTTCTAAGGTAGGTTAAATGAGGACCCAGTTTGTGGAGGCAATAAGCTGACTTTGTATAAATATACAAAAGTATGAAGGCTATTGCTGAGCACATTGTAAGCCACCCTGAGTCTCCGGAGAAGGGCGGCATATAAATCAAATTAAAAAAAAAAAAAACTGATTTTAATGTTTATGTAATTTTTTATGTTCCTTTTGTAAGCCGCTCTGAGTCCTTCGGGAGAAGGGCGGCATATAAATTACATAAATAAATAAATAAATAAATAAATAAATACAGGTAATCCTCAATTTACAATCACAATTGAGCCCAAAATTTCTGTTGCTAAGTGAGACAGTTGTTAAGTGAGTTTTGCCCCATTTTATGACTTTTCTTGCCACCGTTAATTGAAACACTGCAGTTGTTAAGTTAATACACAGTTCAGTGAATCTGCCTTCCACACTGATTGTCAGAAGGTCGCAAAAGGGGATCACATGACCCTGGGACACTGCAACCGTCATAAATAAGAGTCAGTTGCCAAGCACACGGGGACCATGGGAGTGTTGCAATGATCGTAAGTCACTTTTTTCAGTGCTGTTGTAACTTTGAACAGTCACTAAATGAACGGTTGTAAGTTGAGCACTATCTATAGTCTATTTTCCATTTATAAGCAGGAAATCATATCATCTTGGATATTTGGGATCCCCCTTTTCCTATCAATGGGGCTTGGAAACCACCAAGGGATGAAAAGTGGAGAAGGATCTTAAATTCTCCGTTCTCACTCCAGTGGGGCCTTCCTTCCTTGACACCTTTGCAAGTGTGTTTGTGTTGGACACAGAATCACAACCCTGGCTTTGGCCCAGCCTGGCAGGCCAAACCCTGCTCCGGGGAGCATTTAGGCTCAGAGGGCCAAGTTAGGCCCTGGAGTAAAAAGGAGAAAAAGCAGAGGTCAAGGCAACACAGAGCCAGGAAGGCAAGGAGGGAAGTCTCCCCAGAGGACAAAGCAGGGCACCAAAAGAGCTGCCAGCCTCTGCTCCTTTTGCAGCTTACTTGGGAGTAGAGGCTTAGAAGGGAACAACTGACAGGAGGCATCTTGGACCTCAGCCAAGTCCACGTGCTCCAGCAGAAAAACAATACCCCGCATTTGTGCACTTCCTCACAATCCTGATAGACCTGCCTGGCTGTTGCTTTGGGAGGTTGCAGTGGTCTGCAGGGGGAAGCCAGCCCCAGGCAGCAGGGAAAAGGTGACTGAGCCCCATATATCACATTTGGACCCCGGTCCACCCACCCACCCCCCCCCCCCCCGCACCAGCCACTTTTCCTCGGATCCCAACTTTTTTTTGGCACCTTCTCCAAGTGGCAAGGAGGCTGCCCACTTTCCCTTGCTTCCTGCCACCCACCTCGCCCTTCTTCCACGGCTCCACTCCCAGGGGCCAAGTCGCCCTCTGGCAGGATTCCTGCCCAAGTGGGGAGGGGGCTCGGAGGGGACCCCCCCCCCCAAGCACAGCCCGTAACCTTCCCGCGCTCTCCGGCCCTCTTGGTCCTTATTCGGGACACTTACCCCGTGGACGGGATGCGCTGCCAGGCACAGGGCGATCAGCAACACGGGCGCCCTGCAAACCACGGAAAAAGATGTCAGCCTTTCCCACGGCAGACGCGACCCCCCAATATCCCCCCTCCCCACTTTCCTTTCCTCTGGGCCCGGCCACTCACCCGGCGAACATGCTGCCTCTCCCGAGCGCGGCTGGACCCCCAAGCCCCAGGGAAGCGTGGGGAAGGGCGGGTCGTGTGGACGCGCGGGCAGGACACGTGAAGAGCGGTCTCCGCCCTCGCGAAGCAGCAGGGGAGACAACCCCGCGGGAGCCCGGCGATCGCTCCGCGCCGAAGCCGCGCGGCCGAGAGGCGGCGGGGGCGGGGGACCAGAGGCGGAGCCGCCGCCGCCGCCGCCCTCCAAGCAGCCGCAGTGCCGCCTCGGCCTCGCCTCCCCCGCTTCCCACCGACGCCCCCCCCCAGCCCGTTTCCGGCTTGGTCCGTCCACACGTGCGGGTCTCGCAGCCTTTGGCAGAGAATCCCCCCCTTTCCTTTAGGATCCAGGGGGGCTTTCCGCCCCCTTCGCCAGGTCGGGCTTAGGTGGGGGGGCTCCTGGCCTCCCTGCAGCGCCCCAGAGACGAGCCCCCTCCCCCGGCAAGAGAGCCGGCTGTCTCACCTGGGCGCCGGCTAACTTTGGGCATCTCCATCTAGGGGAGCAGCGCATCTTGCGAACTAAGTTGGTCGGGGAACAGGTGGTCGGGGGAATGACGGGCGAGGATCCATTGGGAATGCAAACATATATATATTGCTTTAATTTATATGCCGCCCTTCTCCGGAGACTCAGGGCGGCTTACAATGCGTTAAGCAATAACCTTCATCCTTTTGTATATTTATACAAAGTCAGCTTATTGCCCCCACAAACTGGGTCCTCAATTTACCTACCTTTGAAAGGATGGAAGGCTGAGTCGACCTTGAGCCTGGCGAGATTCGAATTTACAGTAATTGCAGGCAGCAGATGTAAGTGGATGTTAATAACAGTGCTTTAGTCCACTGTACTACAGGCTCATGGCCGAGGGGGTGGGGGTCTTCTGAGCCGCAGGCACTACCCCGCCCGTCAGCCTCTTCGGGAAGGGGGGGACTCGGTCTTCCAACTCGGACCAGTCTTCGGGGCTTCTCAAAAGCCCCAAAGCTGCCAAGCCTGATTTCATCCATTGACGCTTTGGCGGGACGGTCCGATTTCTCAGATGATGGAATATATTGAAGTTGGGGAAGCGCACCAACGATTGAGAGCGATTGAGAGCCAGCAGCCGTTGGGGTGCACTCTCGCCGCCCCCCCTCCCACACCCCCACCCCGCTCGACGGCGCTAGGCCCCCCCAGTTGGGAGGCTGCAAAAACCTTCAAAGTTCCCTCTGGGGAAAACTTTCTAGACTTGCCCCGGACAGGATCCTCTTGCGAGTTTTGCCCTTCTGGAGTGGTTGCGTGGGGCGGCTGGAATTGACCCCACCCCGCTGGTTGTAGGAAAGGGTCCTTGTTGCGCGTGAAACTGGGCTACTGAAGATGGGCTGTAATTCTCCCGCCGGTTTTCTTAAACAACCCCAACGAAACACTCATTCGCAAACGAGGGTTGTGGGAACCCAGCTGAAGAGGTTAAGTTAATAAAGCGAGTCATGATCAGCCACGGTTTCCTTAAGCACGGACACCCGGGTCCTCGGAAGGGGGAAAACTGATCCCGTTTCTCATCGGGAGTAGAACTTTGCGCAGAAAATCAACTTTTATTCCTCCGGCAAGTTCTCTGAATCTCCTGCCGGTGCCTAATTTCCTCTCTCTTTCTCTTCCAAAAGGAACTAACCGGGATGAGTTTGTAGAAGAGGAGAATGTACGGCTTGTTTGTCAGCGGCTCAAGCCACAAGGGCCAGAAAGCGTCCGGAGTCCCTAAACTGCGCCCAAGACCCTCTCGCCGGTTCCCAATCCAACGCACGAGCCCCCTGGCAGCTGAGCCCGGGCTAAAGCACAACGAAAGCGAAACGAAAGCAAGAGACGGGGGGGGGGGAGTTTTTTTTTTTTAAAGAAAAGGGGAGAAAAGTTTTTTTTTTAAAAGAAAAGGGGAGAAAAGGTTTTTTTTTAAAGAAAAGGGAAGAAAAGGGTTTTTTTTAAAGAAAAGGGAAGAAAAGGGTTTTTTTAAAGAAAAGGGGAGAAAAGTTTTTTTTTAAAGAAAAGGGGAGAAAAGGTGTTTTTTTTTAAAAGAAAAGGGGAGAAAAGGTGTTTTTTTTAAAGAAAAGGGGAGAAAAGTTTTTTTTTTTTTAAAGAAAAGGGGAGAAAACTTTTCTTCCCCTTCCTTTAAAAAAAAAAAAAATCAATCCGGATTTCGGAGTTTGGTGGCCGATTCAAGTCCCGAGTCAGCCGCGGGACTACAAATCCCATCCGCCAGCGGCGAAGGCAAGCCGGCCGGGAGGCGCATGGATCCGTGCCGAGGACAGGAGGCAGGCAAAGTAGTCCCCAGAGAGGGGGGCGCGGAGGGAGGGAGGGAGGGAGGGACCGCGCACCCGGGCGAAGGCGAGCTCGGAGCCGGGGAAGGCGGAGGCGGGCGCGGAGGCGGGCGCCCAGAGCCGCTTCGCCCGGCCCAGCCCTGCCCAGTTCCTTGCCCACCTCATCCTCCTCTGCGGTGCCTTTTTTTCCCTTTCCCCTTTTTTTGGGGGTGGGCGAAGGCTGCGGGGCTCCTGGAGGAGGTGGAGAATGGAGCTGCGCCCGGGCGCCCGTCGCCTCCTCTTGCTGCTCGCCCTGGGACTCGGCGCTTGGGACGCCCAGGCTGCGGTGGGTGCTCGGCTGCCTTCGGATGCCCCCGGCGGGGAGAGCGGGGCGGGGGCTGAGCCGGGCTGGGGCCGGGGCGGGACGAGAGGAAGCCTCGGCTTTCGCCTCCGGGGGGGGCGGGGGGGCTGCCAAGGGACCCCGGGAAAGTTGGGCAAAGTTGGTTTTAAAAATAGGCTCCGGGGCGAGCGGCTGCAAGGAAGGCTGGGAAAGGGGAGGGGGCGCGGGAAGGGGTCGGAGCCTGCCGGGTCCCAGGGAGTGAAGAAGCCGGCGGGGAGGTGGGGGAGAAGAAGGCAGGAGAGGTTGCAAAGAAGAAGGGACAGCCGAGGGTCCCAGATTGGAGCCGAGGGGCTGGGATTCCGCCGGGGAGCAGAGAAGGGAAGGAGCCGCCAGAGAGATATTGGGGGAGGGGGGCTGCACTCCCCCCCTCCATAACTGGTTCCTTCAGGTGACCGCATCAGGGCCGCCTCCTTATCTCTTCCCTCTCTTCTTCTTCTTCTTCTTCTTCTTCTTCTTCTTCTTCTTCTTCTTCTTCTCTTCTTCTTCTTCTTCTTCTTCTTCTTCTTCTTCTTCTTCTTCTTCTTCCTCTTCTTCTTCCTCTTCCTCTTCCTCTTCCTCTTCCTCTAGTCAGAGAATGTCCTTATCAAACAAAGGCCTGGGTGGTTTTGTCTTAATTCCCTTCGGTGCAAAATTTACTTTCTCCAAGTGGCTTTTCTAGTAAGTGAAAGTGGAGGTGGGGGGTGGGGAAGTGGCCCTGCCTTGCAGCAGCCCTTCCGATTGGAACCCCTTTCCTTTCCCCACCGTTTTTACAAGGGTGTCTTAAGGTAAGATGGAGATGCTGGTCTTAAAAGGGGGAGGGGGCACTTGAGCAGAGTTCAGCCCTGAATTTCAAGATGCTCCCTGTCTTTTCCCACATGCCGTATGTGTGGCTTTGCTATGTGCGTGTATAGGAGCGGGTAGGTGGCAGGACTGTGTGCGTCCCATAAAAATGAAGCTTCTTCCCCACCTAAACTGCTGCTGGAGGGAAAGTGTAAACTTTGGGAAAGTTCATTTGGGGTGTCGAGGGAAAGGGGTGGTGGGCGCCGAAACAAAATATGGCACTTTTCTGTCCCCCTGCCCCTAATATGGATCTTAAATTGGTTGTACCCTTCTTTTCCACTTTCTGATAGTTGATAAAAGTTAGACTTCTTGAGAGGTGGAAGGTGGAGTGAAATTGCATTGGGTCCTTGTAGGTTAGCAAATGTGAATCTTCTGTTTATGACCCACTGATGATACTAACACCAGCGGACATTAGTGCTGTGATGGCTTGGAGGGGTTATAAAATAATGTGTCCACGTGTTGGAACCTACAAAATGTGTACTTCACCAGCTGTTTAATCTCTCCTCCAGTTCTCTTAACTGTATTTCCTCTTCTGTCTTGCACAGAAATTGTCAAAATAGTTGTTTTCTCCTTATGCCTAGTTGTAATTTATTAACAGGCCCCCTTGAAATAATAGGTATTATTAACTAATGCTCTCTCTCCTTTTAAGGTAGTGTTTAATTGCCATGGTCATTATGGAAAGCAGAATGGGGGACTAGAATGCAGCGGTGCATGTTTGAAATCACTTTTGGTCCAATACCCGTAGTGAACTCTTGTTTGTTATTTATTTTCAGGAATGAAAACTCAGCCAGATGTTTGTCTTGCACCTTTCCCCTAAATATCTAATGACATGAATGGGAAATTAGTCATCTCATTTTATGGGCTAGTTTGGGATGTGTATTTTTCTCTTTGGGACCACAGACTGAAATGCTTTAACAATGCTTAGTTATTCCTTAACAAGTTTTGCTTCTCCCCCCCCTCTGCCCCGCTCCCCCATTCCATGCGTAAGCCCTGTCATTTAAGGCAAATAACTTTATCCCATGTCTTGTATGTCATCAAAATAATGTATACAGTATTTGTTGGCTGTGGACAGATTAGAGGGAAGCTCAACCCCAAAACTGAGCTCCTTGAAGACAGATCAAAATGAACTAATATTAATTCTGTTCAAACATAATTTCTTTAATGTTTTCTGGGATTTTACGGAAATTCCTTCACAGAAGGATAACCAAAGTGTTGGCTATCTTATTCCATAGTGCTCCATTCCCTGCAAGGAGTTTCCATCTGGTGCAATAATTGACTTTGTGCATGTTAATTCAGATGTCAACCTCATTAAATTGAGCAGGCCTCTGATTTGTAATAAAAGTAACATGGAGTTGCTGGCAAAGTACTCCATTCAGTTTGGCATCTGCTCTGGACTAAAATTCCCGGGGTTTGGAATGGGGTGTGGGTGGGGATCAAATTAATTCATTCTTTGTATAAGTAACTACTCTGCATAATTTGAGCGCATAATAAAGTGTAAATTCCTAGCATTAGAGAAAGGGAATCTGTACCCCACTTCTGCTGTTCCTAAAGAACCCTCGTTCTTTTTCTTCTGTTTTTCTGTGTTTGTTTGTAACACCTGCTTTGGGTATCCTAGTACACTGTTAAAACAGCAGGAATGAGTCACACTGGTCTGGTCACCAATATTTGA